AGCAGGGCCCTGCCGCTGACGGACTGCTCACGGCGGGGACAGCGCGGCGTCCTGGTGGGCGTTGCTCCCTGCCGGCCACGCTTGGGCTTCCCAGGGCTGGCGGCGGCGCGCAAGTCCCTTCTTACCGTGGCGACGTGTCCAACAGCGCCCCCTGCCTTCCGGGGGCCGCCCGGTGTGAACCCCGCATGCCCCGCTCCACGCCCAAAAGCAGGGCCCCAAACAACGGGACTCTGAGTCAACAAAGGCAGCCCCCCCCACCCCGTCTTTGGGTGGAGGGCGGGATCCCACAACGGAGACCCACGAGTGACCCCTTCCTCTCTCGGATTCAGTGTCTTTACGGTCACTCTGGGAGCCACAGCCTTGACCTGCCGTCCTGACACTCGGGTGGGTGGATGCCAGACACCCTGGCCCTGACCTCTCTAATCCAGACACCTGAGACATCTTGGTGGCTTCCCACAGAGCCATTTGGCCCTCTCCCACGAGGAGCCACAGTGACGGTGGCACTCAAGGTTCTGGAATAACCTTTATTTTTAAAGATTTTTAAAATTTATTTTTAGAGAGGGAAGGGAGGGAGGGAGAGAGAGAGAGAGAAGTATCAATGTTCGGTTGCTGGGGGCCGTGGCCTGCAACCCAGGCATGTGCCCTGGCTGGGAATTGAACCTGCGATGCTTTGGTTTGCAGCCCGAGCTCAATCCACGGAGCTACGCCAGCCAGGGCTGGAATGACCTTTTAAGTCTACTTCTTCCCCTGTCACAGAGAGAGGCTAACACAGCCACCCCATCACCTGTAACCGTGGTGTGACCTTGCGCTTTGGGCACAGTAGCTGTTGAGTAAACCTCAGCTGCGTCCTTATTGGGGACGTTGGTGTTCACTGACCAGCGAGTGCGGCCAGGCCCGGCTTCATCCGCCTGCCGCGACGTGCTTAGCATGAGCTAAACGTTCCCGTGTAAACAAGGGATGTTCACATCTTCTCACCCGCAGAAAGTTGACCTTGGCGGGAGGCCACTGGCCCGGCCCTGCGGGAGGGTATTAGCAACAATCCCAGGAAGCTGCTTGTCTCCTCTGTAGGAGGCATACGTTGGGGATGTAGCTCTCGACATGCAGTGTGGGTCCCGAGGACGCCGGGAAGAATTCCGCGCTGGCCCGAGTCCCAGGAATGGCTCTGCTCCTCCTGGGAAACTGGTTTCTTTTATCTTGCGGGCTCTGCCTCATGGAACCCAGCCTGCTCCGCTGCTTGCTTTGGCCCAGGCCGGAGTCTCATTCTAGCAAAGGGTCAGGCTTTGGTGCTGCGTATAATTACACTGCGGGTGCATGCTTACTCTGGCTTCATTTTTTTTCTTCTACCTTTTATCTCCTTTTTAAAAATTTTTTTAATCCATTGATTTGTTTAGAGAGAAAGAAACATCCATTTGTTGTTCTTATTGATGCATCCATTGGGTTTATTCTTTTTTTAAAAAAGATTTTATTTATTTATTTTTAGAGAGGGGGAAGGGAGGAAGGGAGGAAGAGAAATATCAATGTGTGGTTGCCCCAAGCGCGCCCCCTACTGGGGACCTGGCCAGCAACCTCGGCATGAGCTCTGACTGGGAATCAAACCAGCAACCCTTTGGTTTGCAGACCTGAGATCAATCCACTGAGCCACACCAGCCAGGGCCATTGGTTGATTCTTGTACATGCCCTGACCAGGGATCGAACCCACAAACCCACAGCCTTGGGGTATCAGGATGTTGCTCTAACCAACAGAAATACTGGGCAGGGTCTCTATCTTGTTTTTTGAGATGGATACCCTCCCTGACCTTGGTGTCTAGCCCCTACATAAAGGTAAAGTGGCACTTGAGCGCCCCCTCTCTGAGTGGAGGGCTGCTGCCACCCCCAGGGGGGCTCCTCTCTCCTGCCGGCATCCCCGTATCAGGGCGGCGCCCATTCTGGTTGCTCTCTCTGCCCACGTGGTTCAGGACTCCTGGGGTCCAGAGTGGCTGGGCCCAGCTGGGATGTGGACACGCTCTCCTGCTCCCTGTGCCCCAAACCCAGGGGCAGCCTCCCCCACCTCCCACCGCAGCTCCCAGCTGTGGGGGCTGGGGGGCAGGCAGCGAGTGCGCAGAGGGCGGGGTTCATCGGTCCCCTTGCCTGCTGTCCCAGCTTCGACCCGCCAACCTGGGCAGTCCCGCACAATTGCCAGACCCTCTGTGGTTGAACGTGACCCCTCCCACATGGTTGATGCCCCCCCTCCTGCTCCCCATCCAGGGTGTCCGGTCCTGGGGGTCCTGGGCAGGCATGGACCAGGAGCAAGGATGTCCCCTTGGGCCGCTCAGCCTGCTCCCCACAGCCTGAGAAAGGGGCTGGTCTCAGCTTCCAGAGGGGCCTTCTCCAAACCCGTGGGGCCCCCCAGGGACACACCACCCCCCGCCTGGCCCCTCTCAGGCGGGGTCCCCACCCAGGGGCCACATCAGCTGCACGCTGTGGATATTTTCAATGACTGAGTCCACAGAGGGACCCCCCCATGGGTGGCAGGGAGGCCAGGGGCCCCCTTACAAAGGTGCTCACCTTGTGGGTCCAGCCTTCACACCCCTCGGTGCAAGCTGCTCCCTCCCCTGCCACCAGGCTGCCCTCGGACTGGGGCTCAGGAAGTCGGGGTTCAGCTAGGTCCTGGCTCCGGCTCCCTGAGTCACCCTGTGCCCTTTCAATGCCCTCAGTTGTCACTGTGCAGCATTTGATGGGACACCAGATGAGATCAGTAGGTGACAGAGTCTTCAGGTAAGAGAAGGCATGAGCAGGTAAGACTGACAGGGTCCTCTAGGATTCAGAGGGTCGGGACACCCAAATTACCTGCCCACAGCCCTCAGCCAGCACCCCAGCACGAGGGCTGGAGTTCCGTTTTTACTGTGGGGAAACATGCAGAACGTGGACTTACCCTCTGGGCCACCTGCCACTGTCCCCCGCCCCCGTCCCCCCCAGAACTGTCTCATGCATCTTCCCAAAGTGGAACGCAGGAGTTAAAATTCTAAAACTCTCTCGGGGAAAGTCCGAGGAGTGTCTGGAGGCGAACAAGATAGGCAGGACTTCCGTTTTCTCCTAGCAGGGCGAAGGCGGGAGACAGCCGGCCCTGAAAATGTGGGGAGCCCCCAGAGGCACAGGAGGCCGGCCGCGCTCACCTGCAGTGGGGGCAGGGAGGCTGGGCAGGGGACAGGGGCACAGACCTCTCCGGAGCCAGCCCTCTGCCCCCCAGGGAGCCGGCCACCGCCGCAGGGGGGGTGTCCTTCCTGTGGTCCGGCTGGGCCTGATAAACACCACACGTGGGGGGGGGGAGGGGACCGTGGTCAGCAGGGGCCCGGGGGGCAGGGGGACCGAGGGCTGAGGGCGGCCAAGGGATGGCTCTGAGAAAGCCCGGCTCCTCAGACCACAGAGCGGAGACAGAAATATGTCAAGCATGCGGCTCCTCAGAAGGCCCGGCTCTGGGTGCTCCGACCCCCCTGGACGGACTTCAGACAAATTACAGGCCTGCCCGCAAGCATTCTGGTGGGGATCTTGTTTTTCTCCTCTCAGACAAAGAGCAGATTTGCTGACAGATGAGGAAGCGGGGTGGGGGGGGGGGCCGGGGTGAGGGGCAGGTCGCCCGGGAGCGCAAGCCCATCGGTGGAGCATTAAATTACCGCTCAATGAGGTGCCGCTCTGGCTCTGCCCCGGCCGCAGAGGACAGGCTCAGGGGGACGTCTGGAATGCGGGCCCGGCTGCTGCGGAGCCTGGCTCCTGCCCCCGCCCCCGCCCCGGCCCCTGCAGTTCTCCTTGAGGCCCCTAGGGGGGGCGCTGCTGCTGTTATTCCCCGCGGAAACCGGGGCACAGAGCCGTGTGTCCTAGGGCTACTCGGGACCCAGGCTCTGAGCTCGCTCTTGACCCCGCTGCTCCCGGCTCCCCCGCAACGTACCCGCGCGACGCTGAGGGCGTCACTTCACGACCAATAACCGCTATTCCCACAGCACCTTCTCGTGGGCTAGTGGCGTGGCTTTCACAGCTGTGTGCAGCTGGACGACAGGCGTGACCGCAGTCGTCAGGCAGAGCAGGGCACCGGGGCCGGAGCGGCTGGGGAGGCTGAAACGGGTCCCCTCCCCCTTCCATCTGTTGAAGTCCTGACCCTCAGAACCTGGAGATGTGACCCAGTTTGGGTCGTCACAGAGGGGACGAGGTTCAGTCAGAGGAGGTCGTTGGTGTCGACCCTCATCCAGTGTGACTGGTGTCCTTACAAAGAGGTAAGGACACGGACGTTTCAATGTCAGCTGGCTCCGGGCGCAGAGATTTGAGCCGGTTTGCCCTTAGTTCTGCGGGGTTTTCTCCCAGTTCGAGGCCTGGGGAGGCTGGCAGCCAGCAGCTCCAGGAGCCGGGCATCCTGGGCCCCATCCTCTGGGGTGCAGTGAGAGGAGGCAGGCTGTGGGCCTTTGGGGGTATAGGACAGACCCTCTGGAGACCCCACTGACAAGCGGCGGAAGGGCAGCCCTTTCCCCGTCTCGGGCTCGTCGTGACTGCTCTGCTCAGAGGGTCCCTCAGCTGACTCCTGGCGGCCGCACCCCTCTCCTGGTGGGCGTCGTCCTGGGTGGGCCGTGGGAGCCCCGAGTGGCTCACCTTTTCCAGCTCTCTCTCACGGGGGGGCGAGGGGTGCGGTGGGAGGTCCCCGGGACCTGGGACGACGGCAGTGTCACACCCGCTGGGACACCATCCCGTCCTGGCGCCCCTGGGGGCTCGCGGCCGGCTCCAGGGTGTGCACTCCGCCTCGGGGCTCACGTGCAAAGTGAGAGGGTTGGGCCCCCGGACTTTTAGGTCCCTTCCAGCCTTAATGTCGCCCTGGTAGTGGGTGCCTCACAGAGTCCTCCTCCACCCTCCGGGGCCCCTGGGACCCCCTCCCTGGGGAGTCCTGCCGGCCTCCTGCCCAGGGCCGGGGGTGCCCCCGTCCAGCTGCCCCGGCGCCAGGAAGGGGCAGGGAGTCACTCAGGCTGGCTCGCGCTCCACTTTTATGACTTTTATTCCCCGTGGCCCCTCGTCCCGCAGGGGGGCAGAAGGGACAGCCCCTGCCCCGGGGGCCCCCCTGGGCCTGGCCGGACCGCGGGCCGGGCTAGAAGAAGTTGACGACCCTGCGGAGGGACTGGACTCGAGCGCTGTGGGCCCCCCAGTCGGAGAAGCTGCGGAAGTCGCCTCTTTCCACCAGGTACATGCGGCCGCGGTAGTTGGGCTCCTCGTGCAGGACCCAGCTGGGGCCGGAGGGTGGGCGGGAGGCCAGGTTTCAGGGGGTGCTGCGCAGTGTCCCCTTCCTTCCCTGCACCCTGGGGGGTGGGGGCTGGGGGGCCCTTCCCAGCCCCCCAGCTCCCACCCCTCCCACCTCCCACCCCTCCATCTGGGGCCAGTGCTGGCTGTGACGTGCATGCCAGGGGTGCTCAGTAAATGTTGGCCTTTTATGCCGATCAGTCTGCAAGGACCACGAGAGATTCCAGGACACGCGTATGCACACACACACACACACACACTGGTTCCTGGTCCCCGAGAGGTCGGTGTGCACAGACTGCACCCGTCACCTGGCAGGGTGCCGGCACCGAATGGGGACCAGTCACTGCTCATTCACCGGGCAAACCCTCCCATTTCCATGCATGTGCCTGGGCTATTTTAGGAGATTCCAAAGTAAGGCCACGCACAGGTTCCTGCCCCAGGGACGCCTCCTCCAGTGGGAAACTGGTGTGTGGGGGCAGGTGCATGGAGGAGCTGCCACCAGATGCTTCAGAGCCCTGGGGGGGCCCTTCCTCCCTCCCCGGGGCTCCCAGGGCGCCAAGCCCCCAGGCAGCCACTACCAGCCCCGGGAGCCCAGCTGCACAGAAGAGCTGGGCCTGGTCTAGTCTGTGAGGCCCTTGGTGGGAGGGGGGGAAAAACATGCCCCACCCTTCAGCGCTGGAGGCTGTGGGCTGCAGGGGAAGGGGCCTGTGTCCCCACCACGTGGCCTCTCTGGGCTGTGGAGACGGCCACCGCACTGCCCGACCGGGGCGGGGGAGGCCACTGAGGGAGGGAGAGGCCTGCGGGGCTGGGGCCCGACCCACCCTAAAGCCTCCCGCATGGGCCTCGAGGGCCCGCTGGGCCCGTGACCGGCGGCCACGCGGCCTCTACTCACGCTCCGTCCCCGTACACCTTGATGGCGTTGACGCAGGTCTGGGCCCAGCCCCGACTGGGAAGGAAGGGGCAGTCGTCGCGCAGCTCCAGGCACTGGCCCGTGAAGTTGCAGCCCTCGAAGATTTCCAGGCGGAAGTGCTCCCCGTGCTGAGAGCCCCCGTGGGCAGCAGAAAGAGAGAAGGTGGATGGCTCGGGGGGGCCCTCCCGAGAAGAACAGGGAGACGGTGCAGGGGCAGGGGCTGGGAGTCACCACGGGCTCCGGACACCCAGGAGCTCCCAGGCTGGGGACCGTGCCGTGCCTGTCCCCACCACCCGCCCACAGGCACCCCAGCCCAGCACCCCTGCTGGTTCTTGTGCGGGCAGTTTGTTTGGATGAAAGGGGTCTGTTGCTTCAAACAGCTGCAGAGCCCCTGACCTGGTCCAGTCTCCCCGCCTCTCCCCCCCGCCGCCCCCTCCCTGGGCTGCAGGCCTCAAGCGAGCCAGCCTTCGAATGACAGTATTTTACAAACGTTAACAGGGTCTTTTGTTACAACACGAAGCCAGGAGCCTAAAGCAAACACAGAGCTGTCGTCGCTGAAATGCCTGCTGTGCCCCGGGAGGAGACACAGACATCCTGCTAAGTGTCCCTGTGTTTCTGAGAGACAGAGGCAGGCCGGCTCCTGACCGGCCGCGGCGGCGGCGCCAGCAGGGGCTGCGCCCGCAGCACAGCTGGCCCGAGGTCAGCTCCTAGAAGATCGCTGGAAAGATACCTGAGATGTTTCTCATACAAAGAGCATTACGCAAGATCCAGGGCCCACCCTGTGAATTCCTTTTCCAAATGTTTGCGGCCTGGTGGTAATAATACCCAGAAAGTGTTCTTACAATGCAAGCTGCCACAGCCTAGGGGAACCCCGAACAGGGGGCGACTTCCCCGGGGTTCCTCGGGTGTTCACCTGCCCACGGGGCCCCACGGGCAGGTAAGGGTCCCCTTTGCTCACCCCAGGCTCAGGGATCACCCATTTCCTACGGGACCATCTGGCACTCATAGCAGGACGGCCAGGAACTGGGACTTGGGAGAATCCGAAGTCCTCAGACCCCACCGTCGGGACAACTGGACACACACATCCTTGGCCCCTACACCTGGTGTCACACTGAGGCAGGAGACAGCACAGGGAGAACTCTGAGACTGCAGTACTGCCACTGGCCAGCGTTTAGCACCCTGGTTGCCAGGAAACACCTTTTACCAATGAGGCAGAATAAATAGTAAACCGAGGCAGGGAGGAGGAAGGAGACAAGCCTGACATGCTAAGTCAGCAGTCCTAAGTCTGGTCTGATAACATCGCCAGGTGTTCCAATATCACAAGAAACACTATATTAGCAGGAAAGAGCCCATAATTTGAGTTTGGTTAATTGCCTACCTCTGGTCACTATCTGTCTTACAAGGGAGTCCCTGATGCTTACAGAAAGAGCCCATAAATAACTTCGGAAATTGCCCCCAAGTTTAATTAACTGCCTCCTGTCACGTATTTGTTTTACAACAGGATGACCAAGGGGAGTCTGGAGCAAGATAAGAATTCGGGCGGACAGACCCCCATTCATCCCTAAATTTGGGTAGTCACATCCCCCCAGGAAAGCTGGCGCCACATTTACCCACTAATCAATATGTAACTTTTTTCCCTCCTATCCCACCAACTATATAAGTCCTGAGAACAAAGGACTCTCTCTCTCAGGGGCTCAGGATGCTCTCGCTCTCAGGGGCTCAGGATGCTCTCGCTCTCAGGGGCTCGGGGGCTCTTGGCTCTCGGGCCACAGGGCCTCTGGCCACCCGGCCTTAGGCTGCCCAGGGGCTTGCCGCCCTGGTCTCCAGCCTCTCTTGCTTTTGTCACCCTGCTTTGCCCTGAAACTGTGCCTTTCACCCCCTACTCTACCTGGTCCTGTGCTCTTCCATGGAAGCGAGCCACTAATAAACTGATTACCTACTACTAGATTTGCTGATATGTAATTCTTTACATGTGTCAGCAAGAAGAACCAGGTCTCTTCTGTTAACAACACTTCGTAGTGGCTGTCACCTGTGGGCTCCTGACCCCAAATTCCCGCTTGCTGGCCAGCCATGCATCACCACCCTCCGTCATCTTTCCCCCAGCGGAGCACCGAAGGGGCTGGAAAACGCTCTTTATCAGGTGATCTGCCTGGTGGTCTGCCCGAGTGGCTAAGTGCTCCCCCGTCTGGTGGCAAAACCAAACCTCTGTGTCTCCAACAGCATTTTTTAAAAAAGCAATTGACTTGAGAGAGAGAAGGGCGGGGAAAGAGAAGGAGAGAAACATCACTGTGTGGTTACCTCTAGCTCGCCCCGTACTGGGGACCTGGCCCACAACCCCGGCGTGTGTCCTGACTGGGAATCCAACCAGCGACCTTTCAGTTCGCGCAGGCCAGCGCTCAGCCCACTGAGCCACACCAGCCAGGGAAATTCAGCAAGATTGGGGGATCAGAAGTTTGAAGTGCTAAGATTATCAGTTAGAATCAAAGGACAGATAAAGAGCTTCCCAGACAAGAAAAAGCTAAAGGAGTTCCACATTGCCAAACGAGTATTCTATGAAATGTTAAAGGGTCTTCTTGAAGAGAAAGAAGAAAAAAAACCCCCAAAATATGAACAATAAAATGGCAATAAGTACACATTGAATCTAAAAACAAAACAAACAACAAGCAGAACATAAACAAACTCATCCATGCAGGGAACATTTTGACAGTTGCCAGATGGGAGGGGGCGGGGCGCTGGGCGAGAAAGGGGAAGGGGCTGAGCGGCACAGGTCTGCGGTCATGGGACAGTCGGGGGGTGGAAGGTCCGGGGCAGGGAACGGAGTCGGTGATACGGTGATAACTAGGGCCGGGGCCGGTGGGTGCGAGACGTTATCTCGGTGATCACTCACTACGTTAAACAATGTCTACTCACTGGGGTGTACACCTGCAACTTATATAATGTGTGTCACCTGTTACTGAAAAATAAAAAACTGATTTAAGTTAATAAAAAAGAAAAGAAACCTGAAGTGCTTTCCTCAAATACGCCTGAAAATATAGGCATGAAAAGGTCCAGATGGGGCGCCCGGCACCCCCTGCCCACCCGTGGGAGTGACGGGGGCTCTGGGCCACCTGTCTGTCTTAACGACCCCACGCCCCCTCACTGCTGTCCCACGTCTGGCCAGGCCTGACCCTCGGCCCCCTGGCAGCACGCCCCCTGGTGGCGCGGCCCACTCACCATGCCCACCGGCCGGCAGGAGCCCACGTGGTCGTTGTGGCCGTTCCAGCGGAAGAAGTCGGGGTACTCGCCGCGCTCCAGGACGAACTGCTGGCCGCGGAAGTCGGGGTGGTCGAAGCACACCCAGGCTCCGCTCTCCACGCGGATGGAGTTCACGCGGTTTGGGAGGCCTCGGTCCTGGAAGTTGTCGCAGTCCCCGAAGACCTCCAGCTTCCGCCCCGTGAAGTGTGTGCCCTCGTAGAGAGTGATCTGGAAAGGCACCGGGGCGCGGGGACCGACGCCCTCGACTGAACCCCGACTCCCGGGCCGGGCGGGGCCGCGGAGGAAGCCCAGGCCTGCCTGCTGTGCGCAGGAGGCGCTCAGCCGCGTTGGCCGAGCGGGGCAGGAGAATGGACCCGGCGCGCCCCTCCCAGCCAGGAGCTCAGGGTGAACAAACTCCAGGAGAGACACGGGGACAGGGATTCCCCTTTGGCCAGGGGCCCCGTTGAAAAGGGACTCCTCCCAGATGCCCACTGCATTTCTTGAAACTCGACTTTTGTTTATCACAACAACACAACATCCAAGAAATGTTTTCAAAAGATGGCATTTCCCCATCACCGAGCCTCATAGGCTGGGAGTGGCGCCTGCACTGGGCGGTGGAGGGGGGGTGGCCTGAACCCCTCCAGCTGAGTCAGGGCTGGGCTCAGGATTCACGGCTCAAAAGGGCTTTTCAGTGTCACTGTCCCTTTGCTTACTAGGCCGCTCCTTCGGGTGACAGGCCTGTGCCCAAAACTCACCTCCTGCCCGGGGGCCTAAAACTCCAGCCATTCAATAACTCTTTGGGTTTTAATAATTGTGCTGGCCCTGGCTGGTGTGGCTCAGTGGACTGAGCGCAGGGCCATGATCCAAAGGGTCACCAGTTCGATTCCCAGTCAGGGCACATGCCTGGGTTGTGGGCCAGGTCGTCCCCCCCCCCCGGGGGCATGCAAGAGGCAACCACACACTGATGTTTCTCTCCCTCTCTTTCTCTCTCCCTTCTCCCTCTCTAAAAATACATAAATAAGATATTTTAGAAATAAATAAAATCTTTTTTAAAAACTGTGCTCCTAGAAGGGCCCTGGCAAAGCACAGGTGACGTTTCCTGGGGCCCTGTAACTGCCGTAGACATGTGTCCCTCCTCCCACAGGGGCACCGCCCTTCTGGACCCCCGCCCCCCCGCCCCGCCCCGGAGTGAGGCGAGGCCGCATGATTTGGCCAGGGGCATGCGCGTGTGTAAGCTCTGAAACCACTTCCCGGCTCCCCCTCGGGGGCCCGGGGAGGGTGTGCGGGCCACGAAGCATAAGCTGGCCCGTGCAGACGGGCACGGTGGTGGCCCTGAGCGCAGTCCCTGGGCGACGGAAGGCGGTGTTGGATTGGCGAGGATGGGGAGCCGGAGGAGGGCAGGGATCCAGATTTGCCACCTCCCTGCACGGGACGGGGCTGGTCAAGGCTCCCCTCCAGATGCAGACCGGATGCATCTGGTCACCCACAGGATTCAGAGGTCGCTCAAGGCTCCACGTTTTGCAGAGAACGGGCCCCAAGTGCCCCTGAGGGAGGAGCAGCCACACAGAGCAGCCTCAGGCAGGGATGGGGGGGGGAGCCCTGGGGCTTCCGGACAGGTCAAGGGCCCCGCCCCCAGCCAAGGCCCCTCTGAGGCCTGACAACCTCCCCGACTGGAAGGGGTGGGGGTGGGGCCTCAGAGCCCGTGCAGGAGGGTGGGGGGAGGGGTCCTTCCCACCTCCCACCTCCCTCAGCCAGGCCGCCTGTTTGGCTAAGGAAACGGGGTTGCACTCACCTTCCCTGAGCACTGCGCCATGGTGGCCCGCCCGCCGGCCCCGCACGCCAGCCCCCAGATATAGCGGTCCGGCCCTGCTGGGTCAGCGCCCCGACAGAGACAAAGGATTTGCTTGGCCTGCGCGTCGGAGCTGTCTCTGCGTAAGCCCTCGAGGGGCCGGCCGCCCAGCCTGGGACCCAACCCACGGCGCCCCGGGGTCACGGAGGTCACTGCGCCTGAGCCCCCGCCGCCCCCCAAGGCCTCTCTGTGTGTCTCTCTCTCCCTCTGACCCCCGACTGCGACTGCGGCTGCCCCTCTGAGCCAAGACCACACACTCAGGGACCACTCCACCCCCTCTGCCCTGGGGGGTCGCTGACCCCTCCTCCACCCCCACCCCCACCCCCACAGGTCTGCCTCTCTGCACCCACAAAGCCTGCGGGCACTTTCTCCCCTAGTTACCCTGAGGGCAGAGAAGGCCGCCCTTCACCACTGCCCCTCTCAGCTCCCACCTCAGCTCCCAGCCCCACCTCGAACTTTCCGCCCGCCACCCCATCCCCCGCCCCCTCCCGCTGGCCCCCACATCTCCAGCCAGGCCGTCCTCACCTCCCACATCGTGGGATCCTGCTGAAGGCCACGCCTGTCCCTCTCCCCTCCCCCTCCCTCCAAGGATCAGCGTGCACCCTTGACCCATCTGTGGCACCTGTCCCTGACAAGGACCCCTTCACAGGAACACGCAGCCCCACCTCAGGGTGAGACTTTCTCGGGTGCGCAGGTTCCTGGCACCTAACAGAGGCTCAGAGACGGTCTGGGGAGCGAGTAGCCAGCACCGAGGCCGCAGGATGAGCCGCCCCCAAACTGCCGGGGAGACCAGATGCAAACACACAGAACGATGACCCTGGCGGTTCGAGGGGGCCCCGGCCGGCTCTGAGGTCAAAGGAGAGCTCATGTTCACAGGGGGGACCCCAGGGGCTGCACGGAGCGGGGCCCGGTGGGTGGGGCGGAAGCAGGACAGCAGGCAGCAGTCGGAGCTGCTGGGAGGAAAGTATATTTTTATCACCATTTCACAGATGAGACACTTCAGGGCCGGGGAAATGAGGCCATGCCATTCTTGGGGCACAGGAATGTGGGGGCTGAAAGAAATAGTAATGCTTCCCCTCCCCCTTCTAAGGCCTTCTGGCTGGGCTGATAATCTAATTCACAGAGACGGAGTCACCGGAGAAGAGCACCAGAAGAGCACCGTTTCAGCACCAGGAATGCACAGAGGCACGCGAATTCCAAAGACAGTGAGGCAGCGCTGGGGTTAGAAGGCCTTTTCGGGCAAGTCAGACAAAAGGGGGAGGGGGAGATGGGGTTACGGATTTCAGAAGTGAGACTGGGCGGCTTGCAGGTCGGGCAGTGGAGGAAAAGTGGAATGCACTCAGTGGGAAAGTTCTCGCTGGGCAACTCAGAACCCGTGCGACACAGAGGGTATGGACATGTGAAAAGGGCAGAGAAAGAAATTCTGGAAGGAAAAGGGTGGGGGGGAGTCTCTTCCCTTATTTCCTTTGTTAAAACATATTTTTTAAAATTTATTTTTAGAGAGGGGAAGGGAAGGAGAAAGAGAGGGAGAGAAACATCCATGTGTGGTTGCCTCTGGTGCGCCCCCTACTGGGGACCTGGTCCACAACCCAGGCCTGTGCCCTGACTAGGAATCGAACCAGAGACCCTTTGGTTCCCAGTCCATGCTCAATCCACTGAGCTGCACGAGCCAGGCCCCTTATTTTCAAATAAGATAAATCGAGCCTTCTTTCCGGAGTCGTGGGCTGTGTGCGCTGCTCCTGGGGTCCAGAGTGTGCCATCTCTGTCCCTTCCCGCCTTCTCTGAGCGGGTTGCCAGAGCACTGGGCAGAGGGCACCCAACTGTGTCGGGGTCCCCTCCCTTTCCTAGGGAGCCCCCGCCCCTGCTTTCACACACCCCTTCGCCCTGGGCCCTGTGAGGCCGCCTATAGCACAGCCAGCAGCCACGATGGCCTCGGGCAGTCCGCCGTGAGGCGTGTCCTGTGCTTTCCCATAAGTACCTTGGGGAGCCACTTGCTCCCCAAGCGGGACAGGGTCAGCAACGCGGAAAGAGACAAGTAGCACAGGCGTCTGTGCCTTTCTCAGACTCCAGGGGGCGACAGAGCAAACCGGCGGTCCGGTCCCCCTGCCCCACCCCCGCCCGCGGCAGCGCGGGAGCTGCACCCGCCACAGCAACAGCTGTCCAGTTCGGGGTCACGTCCCACGGCAGAGGGGCTGCGGGCGCCACCCGCCCGCTTCAGAAAAATGGCTGGGAAAAACAACCCCAAAACTGAAAAAGAAATTGGGGGGGTTAAAGTCAGGAAATCGAAAGTTTTGCGTTGGAGCCCCTGAATGCAGCTGGAGAAACATACATCATCCGAAACAGTCCGTTTAGTTCAAATCAGCGCGGTTTCATCTTGCAGCTGGAGAAACGGGGGGAATCCAGAGACGTGTCTGCCCGCTCAGGGGTGGGGCAGGGGTGAGGAGGGTGCACGCAGGGGCCAGGAGGGGGCGGGGCAGGGGCCAGGAGGGGGCGGGGCAGGGTGAGGTGGGGGCGGGGCAGGGGTGAGGAGGGGGCGGGGCAGGGGCCAGGGCGGGGCGGGGCAGGGGCGAGGAGGGGGCGGGGCAGGGGTGAGGAGGGACTCCCGTCCCCCACCCGCCAGCTGTCAGCCCCAGATCCTTTCTTACGCGCTCCGGGGGCTGCATCATCCCGAGGGGGCGGTGGAGTCGAGGCAGAGCGCCCCCCACCCTGCACTGTCCAGCAGCATCGGCATCGCCGTGCGCTTGTCCGAAGTGCGAGTTCTGGGGCTCTCTGTGCAGCCCAGACAGACTGGGCTGGAGTCCGAAACCAGTCCCCAGGGCCGGGGAGGGGTGCGCGGGCTGCTCCCTCGCTCCTACAAGCGGACCCGCAAACCGCCTGCGGGGCGGTCAACTCTTACCAAGTGCATTTTAGTCTCGGTCTCACACGGGTTTCCTAGGTCACCCTCGGCAGTGGCCGCAGGCCGGATGGCTGTGCCTCCCACCCCAAGTCCCTGTGTTGAAATCCCACTCTCCAGTGTAGAGGGAGGGGCAAAAGTAGGTTTATTACAGTTGTCCGTCTGGAAAATAACACAATAATTGATCAATAACAATACATGAATAAACCCCGTTTTCACGTGTCCACCACGGTAACCCTACTTCGCCCCACCCTGTGTCTGGAGGGGGAGGGGGTCCTTTGGGAGGTGCTTAGGCCCCTGGGGTGGAGCCCTGGTGGGCGGGATCAGTGCGCACCCTCACACCAGGGACCCCCAGAGAGCCCTCACTCCGGCCACTGCGCAAGGACCGTGTCCGCGAGCCCGGAAGTGGGGCCGCCCCAGACCCCGCGTCCGCCGGTGCCTCGACCTGGGACTTCCCGGCCTCCAGACGGCGTGAAGTCCACCTCTGGTGCCCAGCCGCGCAGCCTGTGGCCTTCCGTCAGTCAGCCCAGCCTGAACTGAGAGGCTGGTCCCAGCTTCTCTGGGCACCCACCTCCTCCTGGGCACACTCGAGCATTCAGACGCAAAGTCACTTGGGTTCCTTACAGGCAGGACAGCCAACGTGTTCGGGTGTGCCATGCTGGTTTGAAGGGTGACAGCCCCACACAGCAGGACATCCTCACGTTAGTTCCCTGCCACGGCCCTGACGAGGGACCACAATGGGGGTTACAACAGCAGGCCGTCCCTCTCTCACGGCGGTGGGGGGGGAGGCCACCACCGGAGATCCAGGGGCTGGTAGGCGTGGTTCCTTCTGGGGGCGCAGAGGGAGGGTCTGTCCCACGCCTGTCCTGGCTCCTGGGGCGGCTGTCAGCCCCTCATGTTCCTCGGCATGTGGCAGTGTCACTCTGATCTCTGCCTTCATCACCATGTGGCTTCTGACACGCAGCTGTCCCTCTGGGTCCCCATTTCCTCTCCTTGCTAGGAGGCAGGTCCCTGGGTTAGGGCTCATCCAACTCTGGTACGACCTCATCTGAACTTGACCTACACCTGCAAAGACCCTGTGGGGGGTTAAGACTTCCACGTCGATGTTTGGAGGACCCAATTCTGTCTGCAAGGGCCCATCAGTCCCAGGCAAGCAAGCTGGGTGGCGGTCACCCTCCTACAGTTCTGCGGTCACAGATCCCCTGCCATGCACCCCTTGTTCTCAGGGGCCGTGGCCCGAGTCCCCGGTTCTCAGATGTGGTCCCTGAACCGCAGGGAGTCAGTAGCTGACTTAGAGCCGCCCGCCCCCCGCCCCCCCGTCCCCCGATTTTGCAAGTCCACACAGGGCTCCAGCCACCGGCACAGAAGGGGTGGCAGCCCCACACGCCAGGGCCGGGGAGGGGAGGGGGGCCTTTCCCACCGCTCCAGCCGCCCCAGCTGCCTGCACCACGCTGGCCCTCTGCGTAAGCTTTTTAGGGTAAAGGTCAGGACACATCAACCCCGCAGCCAAGCCACAGGTAAGAGATGACTGTGCTGGTTCACATGGGTCCTTGGCTAATCTGACAACAGTGGGGCAGGGGGGGAACACAATGATAAGTGACACCCCGAGAAGCGCTGGCTGGCCAGGCGGCTCCCCTCGCTGGGCAGGTGAGCCTGCCAGCTGTTTTGTTTTTGGTCGGTAATAAACCAAGGGGCGTGGCTCCCCAGCCTGAGAAACTTCATGCCTTAAAAGCAGAAGCCAAGGCCCCTTGCTAGATTGTAACAGTGTGGAAGCCGGAGGAAGCCCTCAGATGAAGAGCTGCTTGGAGTCTGTCTGTCCCCGACTGGGGCACAGCCCCCCCATTCTGCAGTTGTGTTTGATGAGGTGGCGGACCGAGCTCACCAGGTCTGACCGTGACCTTCGGTGAATCTGATGTGTGATCTGCCCAGACCTGCAGCTTTTATCACCACGCACATCATCGTGTTTTTGATACCTTGGGCCAGACTAGAATCAGATTGCTTAGAGAGGTCTTTCTTTCTTTTTAAAATTCTCACCCAAAGGTATGTTTATGGATTTTAGAGAATGAGAGACAGAAACATCAACGTGAGAGGGGAACACGGATCGCTCGCCTCCCACACGCACCCTGACCGGGGCTCAAAGCTGCAACCCACATACGTGTGCTGACCAGGGATCGACCCTGCAGCCCGGTGGTGTCTGGTGTATGGGATGATGCTCCAGCCTACTGAGCCGCCTGCCCAGGGCAGAGGACGTAGTTCTTTTCCATTTAAAAAAAATATTTTATTTATTCATTTTTAGAGAGTGGGGAAGGGAGGGAGGAAGAGAGGGAGAGAAACATCGATGTGCAAGAGAAACATCCATCAGTTGCCTCTCAGACACCCCTAACCAGGGACCTGGTCGTAGCCCAGGCCTGTGCCCTGACCTGGGATTGAACCAGTGACCTTTCAGTTCCAGGGACAACAGCCCAACCCACTGAGCCGCACCAGCCTGGGTCGTGATCAAACGTGGTTTGTGCAAACAGCAGACTAAGAGTTGGCAGGTCTCTGGCCGTGGGTCCCCCACTCTCCCCTGCTCTGAACCTGGAGACACCACCTTCGCTCTCAGCTGCTTTCCATTCTGTCTCCAGAGCAGGCGGTCCCTGGTCACTCTAGAGAGTGAAACAATAGTGTTGCTCAATGTAAACTTTCCTTTTGTCTTACAGTGGAACTCTCTCTTCTCGGGGGAGGTGAAGGAGGGAGAGAGAGGGAAAAAGAGAGAGAGAGGGGGGTGCTGGAATTTTCTGAGCAGCGCCTTGGCAGGCGCCCGGTCCCCTGCTGGCACAGCCTGGCGGCAGCCTCTGCCACAGGAACCCTGGCAGCAGGGCCCTGGCAGCTGAGCCCTTCTGCAAGCATGGACCTCTCCCGGAGATGCTGCGGGCCGTCCCCGTGGGGTCCGCAGCCTGCTCGCTTCTGGGATGGGGCCCTGGTCCCCGGCAACAGGACATTCTCCACAAGAACATTAGATGGTATTCTGGAAAATCTCTGTTCTCCGTGCTGGGGGGAACCGAAGAAGCAAAAGCGTCAGAGACAGACAGGGGGTCGCTGTCTCTGGTGTGGTCAGGTGCAGTCCAGTGACCCGCAACGCACCCAGCACACGGGCCACAGCTGGTGCATGGTGGCACGTGCCACACCGGGTGACGAAACCCAGGCCTCCCTCCCACGGATGCCCGGAGCGGACAGGAAGTTTCCATTTCGCTGTGGTTTAAGGACTTGAAAGCGAGGGCGGAACATCAAACACGTTTTAAACAAGCCGACTTGGGCTGCCGCGTCCGTGCGTCGTTGGAAGGTGAGCACCACAGTGGACTGGTCTGCGGTGGGGAGGGAGAGGGCGGACCGAACCCAGGCCCGGCTCCGGAAGGCAGGGGGCCCTGGGATTTCACTGGACCGGCTGGACTACTGGAGGGATGAAGGAAGAGGAAGAGAACCGCTCCCCAATCACTCGCTTTGGTTTATGGTGGAGAGTGTTTTCCTGCAACAGGGTCTAGGGGAGGCCCACGTTTTTGAGGACAATCAAGAGTTCAGCTTCGTCATAAACTTGAGATGCCCACAAGACATAACACAAGGTAAGGCTGGGGCCCACAGAGGTCGGGGTGGGAGACACATTTTGGCCGTCAGGTACCGAGGCAGTGAAGCTGCGTGACTGGATAAACTCAAGGCAGGGTGTGGTGAGGACAGGGTCCGTGTAAGGGAAACCGAGGCGGCCTCGGTGAGCGGGGAGACTGGGAGACAGGTGTCACGGAGACAGACTTCCACAGAAAGCAGTCACCTGTGTGCAACGCTCCTGAGGGAGGGTCGGGAGCGACCCTCGGCTGCCCTGGCTCAGTGGGCTGAGCGCCAGCCTGCACGGACCACAAGGTCGCTGGTTTGATGTCTCATCTGGGCACACGCCAGGGCTGGGGGCCCAGTCCCTGCTTGGGGGTGTGTGAGAGGCAATCAATCAATCTCCCTGTCACACATTGATGTTTCTCTCCCCCTCTTCCTCCCTCCCCTTCTCTCTAAATAGCAATAAAATCTTAAAAAAGAAAAAAAAACCAGAAAACACCTACTGGATTGGGTGATGATAAATTCAGACGAGCCCCCAGGGATGCAGTGGGGGGACGGGGTGGACTCGAGAGTTGAGAGTAGATGGGTGATTCAGTTTTAGCGAAATTTCATGACGTGCATTTAAGTTTGTGTAATTTGCATTTATTATGAGCTGCAAAGTAGTTCTGAATATAGCCTTAGTTTTATATTTGTGCATAATGTACTTTAATAAATCTTAAGATTGCATTTATGTAGCATCCAGAAAAATAACAGCTTGTATGACACAATGCTTTGTCACTGATTTGAAACTCATTTCATTTTTTTTAATATAATTTTTATTTTTATGATTTTTTAATACTCTTTTTTAAAAGAGTATTAAAAAAACATTTTATTTATTTATTTTTAGAGAGGGAAGGGAGGGAGAAAGAGAGAGAGAGAGACATCAATGTGCGGTTGCTGGGGGCCGTGGCCTGCAACCCAGGCATGTGCCCTGACTGGGAATCGAACCTGCGATGCTTTGGTTCATAGCCCGAGCTCAATCCACTGAGCTATGCCAGCCAGGGCTCATTTCATTTTCAAAAACGTTCAACCGTAAGAAAGCCTCAGAAATGGTGGAACAGTACTCAGGAACAAAAACCCGGCGTCAAACCTGGCGGTTGCAGATGGTGCATCGGCACAGCGGACCGAGTGAGTCTGCCGTCTGGGACCCTGACGAACTCGGCTACCGAGCTCGGCTACGGCTGCCTTCTCCCTCGCGGGCAGGGTGGCGTCCGCGCCCCCCCCCCCCCGGGGTGTGCGGGAACACTAGCACGGCACGGGGGGAACCAGCGCCCAGTCACTGGAAGTCCCGAGCCGCCACGCCACGCCGGGAAGCTGTTAACACGCTGAATCCACTGAGCAGTCGTCAGCGGCCTGGTGGATGGGACCACGGCCCTAGGGAGCAGGACCGGACGCACCCGGTGGAATCGCCAGGGTTCAAGGTCAGAGGCGTGTGCTACAGGGGTGCAGGTTCCTGTTGTTCATGCACCCGGAATAGCGCCTGGCTCAGAGAACTTGTGAGTGGTGGGTAAACCGCACCCTGTAAAGCAGGAGCCCCCAACCCCTGGGCCACAGCGGGGGGCGTGGCCGGCCGGCTCCGTGTGGCGGCCTGAGCTCCGCCTCCAGCCCCCACTCCCCACAGCCCTGCCACCGCAGCGGGGGAAGTTGTCTTCCATGAAACCGGTCCCTGGGGCTGAAAAGGCTGGGGACCGGTGATGTAAAGGAGTGTCACGTCACTGCCAGACGGAGGTCCGGCCCTCCAAGGACCACATCGCGACGGCGAAATCTCCACCACGAACCTGCTGCTGGAAGTCTGCATCCCACAGAAAAACCTTCGGGGTGGAGCAGCCCGCCCGGGTGACCGGGGCCCGGCCAGCCGGCCCGCGGCCCTGCACACGGAGCACGGACACAGCGTCAGGCCCGCGAGTCAACCCTGTTGGTAAGTGATGACACCACACTGTCCTGTCTGCTTTTATTTTAAAACTGAGCATTTTGTGGAGGTTTTCCAGGGACCTAATTTCATCCTGGAATGACGAGACAAACAACTTGAAAGATCCAAAATGGTGGTGTGTTCTAAAAACAATTTTTCACGCAAAAATTAGTCATAAAACAACACTGCATTTTATTAATAGTAACGTTTCCTAATGTTAGACACGGCCCGGCCCTGTGAAAGCCGGGACGGGGCATCTTTTAAAAAACGTGACCCGGCCTGCAGTGCAGGTGTAGCCCCTGCCCCCCGATTCACCCCCACTCTGTGCACTGCACCCACAGGGCGGGAGGCGCGTGGACAAGGCCCGAGGAAGCCCCCGGGGCCCCGTGCAGAGCTCTGGCGGTGTGGGGTGGGGTCAGGCAGGCCCACCGTCTGTCAGGCCCAGCGCTGTGGACACCAAGCTAGACACAAGGAAGCACAGTGACTGTCTGAAGCATCACCTGCCCCTTCAAGAAGCTGGGCAGACAGCAGAGGGGGGCTGGGGGGGGGGAGGGATTGGTGGGGGGCCGCGGTGGCCCCACCCCACAGACCCACGGGGGTGCTCAGCCACCCCGATCTGGCCCCGCACCCCCATCACCCGTCACTGTCGCCCGGCGGGCCGAGGGCCACGCTCGCTTCTGCCCCTGCCGCGCCCCCCACCTGTCCCCGGGGTCCCAGCTGGGCCTTCCTGAGGGCCGGCGGGGAAGCCCTCCCAAGATCAGGGCTCCTTCTCGAAAAGCCACACAGAGCAGCGCGAGGGACTAAGGTCTGCAGCTGTTTTATTTACAAGTATACATTTAACGATGAAATAAACACTGATATATGGAAGCCTAGTGAACAGTAGTGTAACAATATGCGTCTTTTGATGATTACATTATTTTAAACAACAAACTACACTTAAAAATTAATGCCGATAAAATTCTTGGTCATAATATTAATAAGAAATACAATATATAAATTGAAAATATGATTGCTTAAAATTTGAAAGTGGAAGTGAATTCATGTGGACAGAGTCAGAGTTCAACATAATCTGAGGGGTTGGCGGGGAAGGCTCTGACCCAGATGAAATCTTTCAGGTTAACAGAGGAAAACGAGGCCGAGTTCACCCCCCGGCCTCCGGCAGCCTGTCTCCGCGCGGGGTGGGCCCCAGCGTCCTCGGGCCGCGTGGACTCACATCATCGAGCAGGAAGACTTGCCTTGCGAAGCAGCCCCGTCAATTTTCTCTGCCTCCAAAATTATCCTCCTGAACACGTCAACAGCAGTCTGGAAGACAGGGGAGACCGTGGCCGTGCTGTTTCACAAGCGCCAGCCTGGCTGGCAGGCCTGGAGAAGCCGGCCCCCCACCCTGCAGGCCTCCCCGGACCCCGAGAGCAGAACTAACCTCTCGCACTTCTGGTCCGCCTCCGTCGGTCCCCACAGGGAGCCCACGGCCCCGACCTGCCACCTGCTGCCACCACGCCAGCCCTCCCACCCCTCCCATGGTGCCCCTGGACTTTCAGGTCCGATACCAGGATGGCCCCCCCTCCCGAGGGCCCTCATTTCCTCCGGACACTCCTTCCCTGGGGCCACCACCCCAGAGGAGCCGGCACGGAGGGCCGGAGGGCGGGCTGGCTCTCTCCTTCCCCTCCCTACCCTCCTGCGGACTGCGCTCCTGCCGCCCCACACAACTCCTGGTGCGGCCCGCACGCAGGCGAGGCGTGTCCCCGTCCAGCCCCGGCTCTTCTCAGCAGCACGTGGGCTGAGCCACGTCCCCGCTCACACCGGGATCTGTGGCACTGTCACCGGTGTGACAGGCGAGCGATGCCGGGGAGCAGACAGACGGACGGCAGGCAGGCAGCGTGGCTGGACACGCCTGTCCTAGGGCACCCCACAGCCCCTGCAGGAGACTGTGGAGGGTCGAGGTGACACAGGAGCGGCGAAGACAGCGTGAACACACTGACTAGGACGGCCTGAGGCCTGCGGCCGGCGGTGCCGAATGAGTCTGAAAAATACCTACTTGATTTTCTTTAGCAGACGACTCCAAAAAAGCTGCATTCCAAGATTCTGCTAACGCCTTCCCTTCTTCGTAACTGATCACCCTAAAGGAAAAAAGCACATTTCAATTAAAGAAGTTGTTTGTTCTCTACTATACAAAACATCTACTTGGACTTAGGAACAGGCACTGTTTCTAGGACGTTTTTCCTCAAGGAGCAGACGTGTGCTCTGCTCCGGGCCATCGGCCCGGGTGCAACAGAGGAGCACTTTGTTTCACCTTTTCTACACAGCACCCCCCCCTCCAGCGCGCGAGGCCCGTAGGCACGGAGACGGGCCGCGGTGTGCGGCTGCAGCCCCGCAGATGGGGGTGCCCTGGGACATGCCCGCCGGAAGGCCCACACAAACCCTCCTCCGTGCTCCCGAGGGGCCCCGCCACACGCCCGAGTGGGCCGGGACAGACACACCATCTCGTGGGGCTGCCCTTGCTCCAGCAGCCCTCCCCACTCCCCACCGCCTGCCGCCCTAGAGCGAGGGGCGCACGCTGAGGACAGGGACTGGCCTGAAAGGGCCCCCGCCCGCAGCCTGTGCGGGATCCGGCCAGCGGGCCTCCCCCCGCTAGAACCAGACTCCAGGGGCGGGGTCCCATCGCTCTAGCCTAACCCCAGCACTCAGAAAAGGATTTGGTGAACACATGAATGCTACCATTGTCTCTGTAGAGGCTGCTTTACAGGAAAGGCAGAAGGAACTAAAGATAACTCCCCGCAGGGTGCACAGGTGCGAGTGCCCCCAGCACACTTGCCGCCCACCTCTGCACGCCGAGCACAGCCGGGCTCGGGCTACACGGCTCTTGCCGCAAGAGTGAGAATGAGAAACGGACCTTCAGGGACCAAGTCGGTTAGCCCTGACGTTATGAATCAGCCACCACCCAGAAGCCACGTACCTTTCCATGTGCAGGTCTTTCTTGTTCCCAACCAACATGATAGGTATCCTGCAAACACAGGGGAAGCCACGGGGAACAGTCAGCGCACATCGGACAGTGCAGAAGGCACCACCAGCACGAGCCCACGTACCGCGCGAGAGAAAACGTCACTACTTACTGCACCTTCCCCACCATGTCCAGCAACTTGCCGTGGATGACTTTAATCACTTCAAAACTACAAAAGAAAATGCATGAAATTAGACATTCAACTTGGTCAGGTTTTTAAATGTTTATTACGTAAAGTTTCAGTGAGAAAATAGAAAATGTTGCACGTTCATCATTTTAACGCACAAGAAGCTGAGCACAAGGCATCCCTTTCCCCTCCCGACCGACAGCTCGCGCGCACGCGCGCCCGGCAGCCGCCCGGGCCGGGAGTGCTCGGGAGGAGAGGGGCGCCGGGCAGACGGTCCCGTCTGTGAACGAATGCCCGCAGAACCTGCGTCCGCGGCACCTCCCTCGGCCAGACGGGCCCTGCGGTCAGCCCGGGGCCGCGTCACCGTGGCGAAAGCACAGGGAAGGATGGCAGGGCCTCGCACTTCCTGCTCCGCCAGCGGGCGCGCTCAGACCGCGGCCTCTCCGGCCCGTCCGGCAGCGCAGTAAGAAGTGCGCGTGTTCTCGTCCACCAGAGCCGGAGTCGGTCAGGGCGGTCCCACCCTCCGCCTGCTCGCCCCGCGGAACAGTCAGCTCAGTGACAAAGTCTAGGGGTTACTGCCAGCACTTCCCGCGAAGTCCTTACGAGGGTCCCCGCCACCTCTGCACAGCAATGCACTCGAGGAAGAGGGGTCGAGCCTTACCTTTTGATGGACGTGACAGAGTACACGAGAATGTAACCGTTGATGTCGATGGAGTACGTCTGAGGGAAGATGGAGTATTCATCCTGCGCGAGAGAAACCACCCCATCTGGCACGATGCGCAGCCTCTGCCCCGAGTTTCCCGCGCATCTCCTGGTCGAAGGCGACAGGAAGCGGGGCACAGCGCTACCCCAGAAACGTGGCTGCACGCTCAAGACCCACTTAAGACCGGTTTGGGGTGGGGTAACCCATGCTCAAAAATGGGCCTGGGCGAGCCCAGGACTCCTGGGCAGGCCGACGACCTCCCTACGCCCTGGAAGAGGCGGTCGGCAGGACGCAGGGAGAGACGACGGCCTGCGATGTCTTTCGTGGACCGCACACAAGACGCACAAACGCTAGCGGCTGACGGCATGGATCCGCGTGGCCCCTGCACAACACGGCTGCGCTGGGCGTGGCCTGTTCTCTGCGTGAGTCACAGGGCCCGGCCCCCCCAGCACCAGAGAGGAGGAGGAGGAGAGGAGAGAAGAACCGCGCCACACTCACTCCGAGTGCGTGCCCCGACCTTCGAGGATGAAGGGAGTTGCCCACTGAGCACCCAGGAAGGAAACACGAGGGTGCGCAGCACACAGCGGTGTGCTAGGCCCCCGCCGCATGAGGCTTCCCGACACCCCGCTTCCGACGCAGAATTCCTGAGTGCCGGCGCACACCGAGTCCTGCACAGACGCTGCAATCCCACTGTCTGCGCTGCACAGACCCAGCACCACGCCGGGAAGACCACGGCGAGCCACGCCCACATCCAGGAGCTGTCTCTGTGAACTCTGCGCACCGCGCCGTGGGTGTGACTCGTGTTCGCTGTGACCTTGAACTACTGCCCCATGGCAACGTGTCTCTTAAAGCAGCAACACAAGTGTACTTTTCTGTCGACTCTGTGACACCGTAAACGGCAGTCATCCATCAGAGAAACAGCAGGTCTGCACCAGAGCTGACCCACCTGTGCAAAATAAAGCCTCTGTTTTCGTTATCAGTACGACTTTTATTAAGTTGAATTCATTTTAGTGTTTTAAAAACAAGCTGTTAACGGAATGACAGATCTTTCTACCCAGATTAAAAACAAAATTCCAAACGATTTTAGTCACCAGCCCAGCTGCAGTGTACCCAAAGTTCAAATTACACCCCCTGAAGGAAGACGCGGACACGGGGAGAGAGCAGTCCTGTCCGAGAAGCGCGCTGCGCACAGCGACCAGCTAGAGCGCCCCGGGGAGGGAAAAACCTTCGGCTGCAGCAGCAACCGGAAAGGACCCAGTTCTCAGGAATAAACCAGAGGACATAAAAATGCATGATTCATCTGAAGACAATCTCAAAACACTCCCACGAGAGAAAAGAATTAAACGAGTGGAACGCTGCGGCAGTCTTCAGCGAGGACGGGCGGAGTCCCAAGGATACCCGCTGATGAACCCTGAGTTCACACACAAGTGCAACACGATCCCGGAGTAGAAGCGTGCTTTCCAACGGAGAGAACTGACGGGGGAGGCGGGGGGAGGGAGCCACAAAGCGACAGTGAGCGAGACCTGCAGTGTGGGCTCACGGGGGTGCCCCCGGAGAGATCTATGAAGAGCCACGCAGGGATGGGACACTGTCAGGCACGTGACAGTGTGGCGTTTCCAACACTAGGGACACAGGGCCGCACGTGGGGAACACGGGCAGAGCCGCCTGGGGGTGGATGGCTGCGCTGGGCCTCTAACCCGCCCCTCAGCAAAAGTGGATTCCGGAGGAATCAGACTGAAAGGTGAAAACTGAGGCAGTGCACAGTGGGTGGGAGAATTTAAACTGAAAACAAAACCAGCTCAGACCACACACAAAATGCGCATTTTCTCCCCACAGTAAGGGGTAGGTCGAGTGGGGAAGTCAAGGCCACCGGCCTGGCAGGAAAAGGGGCGGGGCCGTGCAGAGGCAGGAGAGCTCACAGAAAAGGACGGCGGCGTCCCCAGCCGTGGGGAACAGACGCGACCCCTCACGACGAGGAGAACACTGACACAACCACACCCGCCAGTTTTCACCCAGCAGATGGAGAGACATGGCGCAGCCCGGTGACACACCGACCGCGCTGGTGACTCACTGCCGGGGACACCGCAGACCGAGGCCCCCGGCCCCGCGGCCCCCCCAGGCACGCTCTCGCCGCATGCCATCTGTCCGGAGTGACGTGGATGATGGCGGCGCTACTGGTGGGAGCAAGACTGGGGACAGCCTAGCTGCAGACCAACGGTTACGTGACGCTCACACCCAAACAGTGGGGCGTCACGCAGCCACAGGGAGAGGGAAAGGGCCACGCGTGCCGGCACGCGACGGGCCCCGAGAGGGAGGTGCCGAGCCACGCTGCTGCGTCAGCCACCCCACCCCGAGATCCACACCTGCCGGCCCACGCAGCAGGGAGCGTGGGACCAGAGGCCGGAGCTGGTCCCGGGGGCTGCTGCCGGTGCGGGGAGCTAGGGTAGTAGAGTGGGAAAGACAGTCTGCATTTTCCTGTTTGCCTTCTAGAGCTGTTTCATTTCTGTAACACGTGCACTTATTGCTATTAAGAAAAAGTCAATCTTTTTCTGAAGGGGAATTTGACATAGAATTGACTCGACAGTCAGTTTGACTTGACTTGCCTGTCACTGAGTCCACATTAGACCAAAACAAAGTATTTCGTGCGGACCAAAATAACCGACCTGTGCGTTCCACCGTTCACCGTCCTCCCTAGCGGGCCGCGACACCAGCCATGACACCAACTACCACGTAAATAGTACCTGCCGTCACACGTTTATATATACAGCACGTATTCTGTGTGACTTCCCTCCTAAAACGTGCAACTAGTGAGAAAGCTGACTTGGTTACTTTAAAAAAAATATTTACTTTTTTTAGAGAGAGAGAAAGGGAGGGAGCAAGAGAGGTAGAGAAACATCAATGTGCGGGTGCCTCTCCTGCGCCCCCTACTGAAGGCCCCACCAGGCCCGCAACCCAGGCATGTGCCCTGACTGGGAATCGAACCAACAACCCTTTGGTTCGCAGTCCGGCGCTCCATCCACTGAGGCACACCAGCCAGGGCCGAACCCAACTTTCAGACAGCCCTCAGAGCAGTGACTTTGGCATCAGTCCATCCAGGTCCCAGAAGAGCGAGCGGCACACACCAGCAGGGCCTTGTACCCTCCGGTCTCCTAACGGCCACTACAGCCTTTCAGAACGGGTGGCTGCAGCGAGAACGATTTATTCCAAGCAGCTAAATTTGGATCTACTCTGTAAAAATTCTCTAAATGTCCTTACCTGGCAGTCATAGAACCCAAAACAGCAGGACAAGCAGAGCTGGTCCGGGACGGCACTCAGCCGTCCTCCCTGGGTGCACGCACTCCCCGGAGCCGGGGGTCGCTCTCCGTGCAGCTCCGCCGCCGCCACGGTCCCAGGAGTGCAACGGCCAAGTACACACGCCTGCTCCAGGGGCCCCCGCCAGGAGCCTCAGGGGGCGCCCCTTCCACAGAGATCTCGGGAATTGATGGAAAGCTACGTTCTCTCCGGGGAGGGGAGAGCAAAGACAGCTCTCCTCCAGGGGCGACATGCCTGCACGTCCGCACCCCGCGTGCTAACGTCAACTGAGCCCCCCACGAGGCCGCTGCGCTGGCCTCCGGAGCGCCGAAGACTCCCACACGAGGACCGCCCAGTCCTCTCGCAGCTCGCCCGTCTACCGAGCCCGAGAAGCACCCACCGCAGTGTCATCTTTGGGTTCCTCAACCTCGGCGATCACTGACGGTCCAGCCAGTCACACCAGCAGCCCTTCCCCCGGTGATGATCACACACCCACCTCGGGTCCTGCCCCGTGGTCCCTCGCGTGCGCCTCCCCCCGGAGAGACGCGCCGTGCTCCAAGCGCGGGGCACACGCATCGCGCAGGGGAGGCGCTCACCCGAGTCTCTGACGGGAGCTCAGGACCAGAACCCCCTCCTGCAGCGATCGCAGCCGGCACAGCGCTGTGAGTGCATTTAGAACAACTCTGACGCAGAGGACCGAGCTGCTGGACAAACGGCCGTAAGTGACTCTGAAACGACCGACGGAGTAGACGTCCCTCGCTCTCCAGTGACACGAGCGACGACAGGAGCTTCCTGACGGGAGTCCCGAGCCTGCGAGGGTCTGCACGACGCGCGAGACTCACCTGCCCAGCCGTGTCGACGAGCTGCAGATGGTACTCCTGCCCGTTCACCGTGATCAGCTTCGTGAAGGCTGCAGGGGAGAGAGGAGCGCGAGCATCAGCCAGCCGCACCGCGCGCACGGTGACGGCCAACCAGAAGAGCCCCTGAAAATCTCCTGAAGATCTCCATAAAACAAAACAAATCTCCGAGTTTACACATTCTTCCCAACCTCCACTATTTAACTAGAAAACACCGCTGACTAAAATCAAGATTGGCTAAACCTTGCATTTTTTAAAAGACACTGAAATCAAACCAGGCAATAATCATCCCAGGAAAGTAATCTGAATGCTCTCTCTGTGGATAATCCTTTCTCTTGTGAGAGAGAGAGAAGTACATGAAGTTTGGTGTCTAGAAAAACCCCGAAGCACAACCCTCTCCACTGATTTACAACAGGAGGCCTGACGCCCGAGCACGAGCGCGAGCATCTAACGGGACGCTCCAACGTCCAGTGCTCACACAGCGCCACGGTCTCACCGACACGCAACAGCAGCGGCGCAGCTGTTCTGTGGGAGGCCATTATTCCCACCCGCTGGGGATCCAAGCAATTTGTCACAATTTCTTTTTCCTGCCAAGGGGTGGGGGTGGGGGGGGGAAGCAAATCCGACTCAAATAACTTCGGGAAAAGTCAATTCAGAATTTTAAGGAGACAGACTTCAAGCAAATACAGACAAAAGAGAAAAGAACTATTAATAGTGACTATTACAAAGAGCCATCTGGAACCCGGACAGCCAAACGGAACAGGTTTCTGCGCCCTGTCCCAGCCTCCTTGGCTCACGAGGAGCCTCCGTCTCCTGGCCGCCCACTGGACCTGATCGGAGCCGACCAGCAGGGTCTAGCCCATGCACCTCTGTCCCTCAGCCAAGAGGGAAAGAGAAGCAGACAGACGACAGCATTTGGGGAGCCGTGGACGGCAGGAGGACGGCAGGAGGACGGCAGGAGGACGGCAGCAACCCGGGAGAGTCCCCCAGCACCGCGCCGCGCGTGCCCAGGGCCAGCGGGGCCCAGGCTCGGCGGGACAGCGTGACCGCACTGCTCAAGCAGCTGCTCCACCTGACAGCAATTCTGCACTCTTTCTGGAAATGATCACTTAAAGAAATAATGCTAAGAAATCAATCCTACCATGTCTTCCCCACACCGGGACCTCTCCGAGCTCAGGATACCCAGGGCACCGACTATGCTTCGATCCCCGCTGGCAGCCAGGAGGCATGCGAGTGGAGAGCTGCCCCCCCCCCCAGGGCCCACCCACACACCGCAGACCGGATGGAAACGATGTACGAAACGCTGTGAGCAATGGAACAGCAACCTCTGTGAGAACTGAGTAACGTGGTTATCAAGGAACACTGTAGGGAGAAGATGATCTACCAAACACCAGCCATTCGCCGAAGAACTACTTCTCCAGCGCCTGTTACGACCACCACTAGGCACCAGGGACGCCGTGGCCCCTGACCTCACTGAGCGGACACGCAGCGGAGGGGCGCCCAGGCAGAGGGGGACGAGCACGTGAAAAGCTCAGCAAGGAAAAGCAGTCAAGTCCGCGCCGCTGCGGCTGGGCACGGCGGGCAGGCCCGGGGGCGGGCGCCGGAGGCCTCGGAACACACGGCCAGCACCTCGGGTTCCCACTCTGAGCGCACTGGGGAACTGAGGGTGGTGGGCAGTGGAGGGACCTGATCCAGTCACACTCTGTTGTGGTACAAGGGTCCCTCCGGTCACCCGTGAACAGAAACGTGGACCAAAGCCAGCGGTGGAGCCCACGACACAGTGAGCAGGGTCCGGGGCAGAGAGGTGAGACACGACGCCCGGGTGCCCCGTGCTGCCCGGTCAGAAACTCGAGGGCGGCTCAGCCTCGGAGACCGGGCGGCACTGGCCGGGGAGGTAGGGGTAAAAAGGCGGGAGATGCAACTGTACGTAAGGCGGAAAGAAGTATCAGCAAACGTTCAGCACACCCTTGCGCACAGAAAGGATGCGAACCCTCCCACGCAGCGCAGTGAGGAGGTGAAGCGGAAGCTCTCCCATCCGCCCTGGGAAAAGTGCCTCCTGGCGCCAGCACGGAAGAAGGGAAGCCTCCCGGAGACCTGCCTGTCGCCCCGCAGCCTGGGAGCGAGCTCTCCCGCGGGCTCGGGGAGGAGCGGGAGGGCGGCCTCCCCTGACGGCACTTTCCTTGAGCCCTCGCTCCCTCCCTTCTCAGTCCCCGGGGAAATTAATCCAATTTCCAGCTTACAATCCTGGAGCTTCTCTACGCAGGCTAACAGCTACTTACTAGTAGAATCTTGTGAGCAAGGGGCTGGAGGCTCCGGAGGCTGGGCGCTCGCAAACTAAGACCTGCAGCACTGGCGTGCACGGCGAGCCCCGCACTCCTGTCCCACTGGGCGGTCTGCCCGCCACTCGGAGCTCCAGACTCCGACCTCCCAGTCTGCGGGCAGCGCCGGGAATCCGCCAGCAGCCCCCTGCCGAGAGGGCCGCCGCCATGCCGCGCCCCCGCGCCGGTCTCGCTGCCCCAGTACCGCTGCGGCACACACGCAAGCGTGTCTGCACGGGCGGTGCTCCTGGCCCTACCACAACCGTACAGGCAGCAAAAGATGATGACACAGCCCCAGGATTTTTGCTTTTGCAGTGACACTTCACAGAGATGTGTCACCACTGCCTGTCTGCTATCAACACCCTGCTCTATGTTAGAGCTAAGTGTAAAATAATTATTGGATCACTTCCAGATTTACAGAGCGCCGTGTTCCCTGGAACCAGAAAACCACCCGTTCACTCAGGTTGCTAGCAACAAGTTTACGACGGCCATTCATTCCATTCCTCTCTAATCCCCTATCACCAGCCAATGGCGTTTTCCCACCGAACAGTCGGGGAGGGCGCGGGGAGGGCTTCCGCCTGCACTGCTGTCAGAAGCTGGGGAAGCGGTCCGGCGTCTGAACACGCCCAGGAACTTTCGAGGGGCTCTACACACTGGTCCTCATCTCTGCGCATGCCGGACGCATGCCTGACGACCCTGCGCGTGCAACGGACTCGGTCCGGAGACGGGAAGCACTCGTGAGCACCACGAGGTGGGGAGGCGTTGACGACGGGACTCCAGTCGGTGTCTACAGCCTCTGAAGCGAGGCCACGACACTGTCCCTGAGACAGTGTCCCGGTGGGGAAGCTGGGCTTCCGTCTGACCCATGGCTTACGTAAAAGGGAAGTGCATTTCACACGTTACACTGTGACTTGCCTTCCAACCCAACCTTAAATGGCACGACACACAACTATGAAAACCACCTTTCTAAGCAGACCTCTCCATGAAAACTACCTTCTGCTGCTGTTCTATGAACAACATGCCCAGATGAGCCGCAGCCCTTGAAGGACATCACGCTGTAAGCTGCTGTGTACAGCAAACACTAAGGCCAAAACCACGGTTTCCTTGTGTTCCCGTTCCAGCGGAGAGACGGCCGAGCCTGTGCACCCAGCGCCCGGGTGACTGCCCCTCACACGAGCGAGGCTTACTATTCCGCGACAGCTACACAAACCGACAGGACGCAACCGGGACCCCTCCTTCCGGGGAAGGCAGAGGTTACTGTCCGACACGCGCCTTCCTGGCCAGTCTAGCAGCCGGCAGGCTTCCTCCCGCTGTCAGCGCTGGGGCAGGAGGGCGGCCGGGCACTCTGAGGCAGAGGTCGGCACACTTGTCCTGGAGAGGGCCAGACAGGGAGTAGTTCAGGCTCCGTGGGCCGCCGCTGTGGAGGACAAAGCGGCCACAGACGGACAGATGGGCACGGGAACCAGCTTGGCTGGGTTCCACGCAAACTTTACTTATGGATGCTGGCATCAGAATTCCACGTCACCTTTGCATGTCACAAACATCCTTCTTTTAACTCTTTTCGAAATGAAAAATGTCAAAACCATACTTAGCTCGTGGGCCAACTTGGCCTGCAGTGGAAAGCTGCCCGTGCCCCCTGCGGTGAGCCTCATTTTGGGGGGGGGGGGGTCGGTCTCTCCTGCGAGCTTTGGGCAGGTGAGGTCTCCGACCCAGCCACCCACCCGTGAGCCTGGCCGTTGGGCAGGCTCCACGTCCACCATGCCACTCAGGTCTGATGGACCCACGTGGGAACCTGCCCGCCCCCGGTGGCAAACCCCAGGGCTCGCCAGTCCGAGAAGACTGTGCCCAGGGAGCAGGGGTTCTCGGGGGGCCCGAAACCGGCTCCCCACAAGCAGCCGCCCTGAAGGAAGTGCCTCAGCTGCTCCCCCGGGGCCCCAGACCCGAGGCTCGAGCAGGTCCTAGAATCGTCCTTCAGGGAGAGCCTGAAACCCGGACTGGAAACAGACCAGGTAAAGGCCGTGGCCGATTCTGGTCTTTGGTGCTGCTGCCGAGCACGGTGTGGACGCGGCGGGAGGAAGGAGAGAAGAAGAGGAAGAGGAGGAAAGGCTGCACTCCCCGTGTCCCCGAAGCGCAATGTGGATCAGGGCTTCCCACACTGCGCTCCGGGGTCCTGTGGAGACGGCAGGGTCTGGATGGAGCCAAAACATCCTTCACCGTGCAGTGGGCAAGGTTCTGGGGAGCTGTTCTGGGACCCCGTTGGTGACCTACAGCTCTACCCGAATACCCCTGCAGCTGAGGCCCCCCCCCCCAGCCCTGCACACACACAGAGGCCGGCCATTGGTCCGCGAGAGGACGGCGTCCCAGGTCACCGCCCTCGCAAATGGCACTCACTGTTCTCGATGGTCGGGTCATAGGAGTCCACGAACTGGCCTTCCACAAACTGGATCGTCAACGAGGATTTCCCTGGAAGAGAGAGCAGCAGTTCAGATCGCACCGGCGTTATCAGGGTGAAAATTTTAGTTCTGCTATTTTACAAAAAACCACACTGGAATGGATGAAGAGACTCAAGGTACTGGGATCAGGAAACATTCCTTTCATTGCCATTTAGGCAATTTCAAAGTTCCTGTCAACATGAACTGTCACGAATGAAATGCTTCTGTGACATCCCCAAACACCACCAGCCGACGAGCGCAGCGCAGCGCAGGCTCTGCTGGGGGCGAACAGCTCTCACGGAAGCCCTGCGCTGAGCGGCTCCCCGGGCCCCGGACACGCGGCCACCAGCTGGGACGTGGAAACCTGTGAGACGTGGCCGCGTCCTCGGGCGTTCTCACCGGGGGCCGCCCCGCGCCTGGCAGGCAGGCGAAGAGGCGGTCGGTCGGGACTCCCTCGCAGAGTTATCCTGAGCACTGGGCCCGCGCTCTCACCCACCACCCACCACCCACCACCCACCACCAGGGGCCAGCCCTGCGACCTCCCACCGGAGGGCCTGGGGCAGGGAGGGAACAGCGCCAGACGGACTGTTTTCTCAGCAGGAAGCAGGAAGCAGGAGGCGGCCCGGACAGGGGCCCCCCTCCCACTCCGGCCCGTCCTGGGAGCAGAGGTGTCGAGTCACTCGTGGGCCGCCCCAGCCACCTCCCTCGCGGGCGCCCGCAGGCAGAGCCGAGGGGGCGGCTGCCGGCCCGAGTCCCACACTCCTGGGCCTCCAGCCCTCGGGGCCTCCCCGAGACCACGGAGAGGTGCAGTTCACAGGGGCACGGGTTTTCACGCCAAAGGCCGCCCCCTCACACTCAGAAATTTACCAATCACTGTATTTTGGGCCGTGTATAACGCGCACCCATGTTTTGGACCCAAACTTCCAGGAAAAAAAACTTTTGTTTATAATTTTTAACTTATTTATATTAAGATATGTATTTTTTGTATTATAAAGGAACTTTAGCATTTATTTTTGAACATACCATGGTACAAGAAATTTTATGTAACAAATAATTACAAAACACAAGAACAGGTACAAGGTATCTCATGCACCACCCATGAATAATGCGCATCCTTATTTTTCCTAAAAAATTTGGGCAAAAAGTGAGCAATATACACGGTGAAACCCAGGAACAAGCGGGATGAAAAGTGGGAGCTGCCGGGGGGCCACCAGATAATCCCCAAGTTGGCGGGCTCATCGCTTACTCCCCCACCCCCACCGAGCAGCGAAACACAAAGTTCGCCGTGTCGCCAGAATTACTGACAACTGAAATAACTTTCTACAAAGCAGCCTACAACAGAAATTCAAAAACTACATGTTACTCCATACCTGCTTAAAACCTTCACTGTGATGAGACTGAAGTCCCAACTCCAAACCATGGCCCCTGGGGGCAGGTCCTGCCTGCACACCCCACGCCGCCTCCCCGACCTCACCCGCTAAGCCCCCAAGGCCCCTCCCTCCCCTGGCTCCAGCCGCGCCCTTCAGCCCCAGCCAGCTTCCCACCAGCATCAGCGCCTGTGTTCTAGCCGCCCCCCCATCTCGGACAATATGACTCACTTTTGTCATTATTCAGGTCTGCGCTCAAATGTCCCTTCTTCGGAGAAGCCATTGCTAAAACTGCCCTGGGGAAGGTGGCACCCCTCCCTGACGTCACTCTATCATACCACCCTGTTGTATTCTTTTACTTTCAGTGCCTGAACTCAGCTGGACTTGACCTTCATGCGTTAATTAGTCTTTGGAGACCCTGCAGACACTTGGGTTCTGAACAAATGAATGAAATCCAAGCTCAGACCCCCCAGGGGCACTGGCATACACTCAGAGACTACAGAGAATCTCAACTTCATAAATGTGACCAAGAAACAGGTCGACAGAAATTAAGAAGCAACTCCGTGGCGCGGACCCGGACCCAGGCGGGGCCTGCCCGCAGCACCGGCGACAGCGGCGTCTAGGGACCGCACACATTTCGAACGACTGTGTTCGAGAGAAGCCCTGTTACGTAACCTGGCTCACAAAGAGGCATTTAGCTCAAAATACAGAAAACTGTTTTATGTAATGAAAATAGCAATAAAAAACTGTTTTATGTCAGCAAAACCGAAACACTTTAAAGAATAAGAAAATTCTTATTTACATCAAACACCATTGCTTGAAGCAAAAGACATTTAATTGGAAGAACAGAACCTTCTTTAGGGCTCCTGAAGAATGTCCAGGCACCCCACTGAGCCTCTGATTCCCTTAGGATAAGAAGTTTTTTTTGGGGGGTGGGGGGAGCTTACACACGGAGAGAAGAGAAGGAAGACAAGAATTTCCCCCCTATAGATAAATGAGCAATGGTGAAAAGAAAGGCATTTAAAAGACTTCAGTGACATCTGTGGAAGCAGACCTGGATTAAGCATGCAAAGACAGGGGCTGAGCAGGGCGCATGTGAAGAACTCCCCTGCAGTGGAGGGAAGCAGGTAGGAACGTGGGGGCGGGGGGAGGGGAGCAGAGCCCCTGGAGGGAGGGCACGGAACTCCGGAAGCCACAAGCCCAGAGAGAAGACAGGTCCCGCACACGACGGCGTGAGACGGATGGAGTCACGGCTAACGAGCGGACCGCATTCAAAAACACGATCGGCATTGGCGCGCACCCGAGGGGAGTTCCTCCTCTGTGTCACAAGGGTCAGGCATTATGTGATGGGCTGGCTCACACTTCACTGGAGAACACAAGCAATCCTCTGGCAAAAGCAACTGGACCGCAGTCCAACCCGAATCCCAACGGGGCCGACGGGCAGCTCTCGCCCTCGGGAGTGACTGGGACCGCGGTCACAGGGTCCCGGGAGAAAGAGCTCATTACTAGCAGGGGTGGGCCGAGGAGAGCCTGGTCTGCCTCGGGCCTCTTTCCACTGGACTCTCCCCTTGGGGAGATCATTAATTACTTAAATTAAAAAGGGACAGGAAGGCTCCATTTGCTGACATGATGGCGGTTTTCTGCTGTTTCCATTAGAAGCAGAATTATCCGGCGACTAGCGTTGAAATCTTTGCAAGTCAGCACTGAACAATACTGAATCTTAGCAAATAAGCCCCACTGCGCCCGGTGTCCGAGGCTGCGGCCTCCTAACTTCTGGCCGCGAGGGCCGTCCTCGTCCTCGTCCTCTCACGCAGCCCTTGGGCTCCTCTGGCCAACGCAGCCCGCTGGCCGCCACGCAAGGCCCTGGCGACCCTTCGGCAAATTGTGTTCTTTACGTGATCACCTTCTACACCCCCTCGTAACGGCCTCAGGCACTCACTTCCTGCGGCCTTTGTCCTTGCTGAATTCACATCCTGGACACCAATTATTTCCTGAAGGCTTTTCAGCCAGAGCGTTTCAGCCACGCCCACGCCCGCAGAGGCCCATGAGCCTGTCTGAGGGTGGGGGTAGGGGGGGGTGAGGGGGCGCTGGGACGCCAGCCTCGGACCCCAGCCCAGCCCGGGAGGGGACGCTGCGTGATGCCAGCAGAGCCATCCCTCGGACTGAAACGCAGCCCACGCCCAGGTGCGTGCAAGTCCGTGTACAGAGACAAATCCCTCGTGTGACGACAGGGCACACTATTAGGAAGGGTCTGAACAGAATGTGACCCGGCACCCCACATTAACTTCCAAATACTCTTTTTCTCCACGCTAAAAACAGCCCTCGTTTTAAAAGCCGTGAGACGTATTTTATGAAAGTCCCACCGGACTCGCAGCCGGCCAAACAGCAGCTGCGTCTGGTCTCACACAGGGACAAGGCCCGGCAGACGTTCCTCCCGGCGCCGTCGCCACGACGACGCGCTTCCTCGGCTGCTGACTGACTCTCCTACTTCAAGATCGCTGCCAGACAGGCACTGTTTGCGTAACACACGTTACTATTTTTCAGATGAACTCTTAACTGGTTTTCATGTCGCTTCTCCTAAAAAAATGACCCTTCCAACCCACCCACTCTGGAACGGCTGACACGTCCCCTGGTCCCGGGGACACAGTGGGGAGAGGCAGGCTGCAGTGCGGCGCCTGGTCCGTGCGGACCTCCGCCACGCCGCAGGGACACAGTTCCGAGGACTGCGCCCGCTTTCCCCTCCAATCCTCCACGTCGCCCCACACCACTCCAATGTCCATGTACACAAGCCAACAGTGTGGCCTCAAGCTCTCGGGTCTCGCCACCAACCACTGTCCCCACTCTGCAGGCGCGCCCTCGCTTTCGACTCCCAGCGGGTCCACCGGACGCCTCCGGAAGCAACGCCGTGCGGCCAGGTCACGAAACCCACACGCTGGGCTATGCCCCCCGCTGTCCTCAGAGGAGGAACACCGGAGTGGACTGGAAACATGAAACTCATCAGATATACACACATTAGTGACCCAGCAGCCAAGTAAAATGTATCTCCCACTACAGGCCACAGTGAAAAAGGTTACAAATACAGCACTAAATGATTACAACCCGAGCCTCCAATCTCCACCACTTCCTTCCCTACCAGCTTACGCCCCAAGATAAATTGCTGTCTAGTCTTTCGCAAGAACCCCCATTTCCTTTCTCCGGGCCCCCCAATAAATCCAGCAGTCTTAATCTAACCACCTGCTTTGGCCAGCCCATCCGCAGGAAGTCCCACGGATGCCCTCCCCCACAGCAGCCACGAGTCCCCGTGGCGGCACCGGGCGACTTACTACAAAATCTCGAGTCCCAACCACACCTACAGGATGGGAGTGTTAACCAACCCCCCACCCACTCCACAGCTCACTAATGTTTATCAACCACTGCCCTCAGGCAGAGCTTAAATTCAATGGATCACCCTAATTTCTTCTCGCCTCCAGGGTGTCCCCCAGTTCTCCAGTTCCCTCCGGCAGCTCAGGCTTGAGGCACGGAAAGAACACCCCACGCGGACCGGGACGAGGATGAAGCCGTGACTAAGAGGAGGTGCCTAACCCCAGAGGTCACCCGCCGTGACACCCCCCCCCCGCCGGCCACCCCATCCCCCCGCCTGGCCCTCCCCACGCGCTCCCACCAC